GGCGGCCCGGGCAGCTCCAAGCGGCGGCCCCCCGATGCTTCCGAGGGCGGCGGCGGCGATGGGGCCACCCCCGGCGGGCGCAGCAGCGTGTTCGAGCTGCAGGTGGCCGACACCCCGGACGGCGAGAAACAACCCCAGCTGATCGTGAAGGGCGCCTTGGACCGCGAGCAGCGGGATTCCTATGAGCTGACCCTCCGGGTGCGGGATGGCGGAGACCCTCCCCGCTCCTCGCAGGCCATCCTGCGGGTGCTCATCACCGATGTGAACGACAACAGCCCCCGCTTCGAAAAGAGCGTGTACGAGGCCGACCTGGCCGAGAACAGCGCCCCGGGCACCCCCATCCTGCAGTTGCGCGCGGCCGACCTGGACGTGGGGGTCAACGGGCAGATCGAGTACGTGTTCGGGGCGGCCACCGAGTCGGTGCGGAGACTGCTGCGCCTCGACGAGACCTCGGGCTGGCTCAGCGTCTTGCACCGGATCGACCGCGAGGAGGTGAACCAGCTGCGCTTCACCGTCATGGCCCGCGATCGGGGCCAGCCCCCCAAGACCGACAAAGCCACGGTGGTCCTCAACATCAAAGACGAGAACGACAACGTGCCGTCGATTGAGATCCGCAAGATCGGCCGCATCCCCCTGAAGGACGGGGTGGCCAACGTGGCGGAGGACGTGCTGGTCGACACCCCCATCGCCTTGGTCCAGGTGTCGGACAGAGACCAGGGGGAGAACGGGGTCGTCACCTGCACCGTGGTGGGCGACGTGCCTTTCCAGCTGAAGCCAGCCAGCGACACAGAGGGCGACCAGAACAAGAAGAAGTACTTCCTGCACACGTCCGCCCCTCTGGACTACGAGACCACCCGCGAGTTCAACGTGGTCATCGTGGCGGTGGACTCGGGCAGCCCCAGTCTCTCCAGCAACAACTCCCTGGTTGTCAAGGTAGGCGACACCAACGACAACCCGCCGGTGTTCGGCCAGTCCGTGGTGGAGGTTTATTTCCCGGAGAACAACATCCCGGGGGAGAGGGTCGCCACGGTGCTGGCGACCGACGCGGACAGTGGGAAGAATGCCGAGGTCGCCTACTCCCTGGACTCGTCGGTGATGGGGACCTTTGCCATTGACCCCGATTCCGGGGACATCCTGGTCAACACGGTGCTCGACCGCGAGCAGAATGACAGGTACGAGTTTAAAGTGAACGCCAAAGACAAAGGCGTCCCCGTGCTGCAGGGCAGCACCACGGTCATCGTGCAGGTGGCTGACAAGAACGACAACGACCCCAAGTTCATGCAGGACGTCTTTACCTTTTACGTGAAAGAGAACTTACAACCCAACAGCCCCGTGGGCATGGTCACCGTGATGGATGCCGACAAGGGACGCAACGCGGAGATGAGCCTGTACATTGAGGAGAACAGCCACATTTTCTCCATTGAAAACGACACGGGGACCATTTACTCCACCATGTCTTTTGACCGGGAGCATCAGACCACATACACTTTCCGAGTCAAGGCTGTGGATGGGGGAGAGCCTCCCCGATCCGCCACCGCCACCGTCTCGCTGTTCGTGATGGATGAGAATGACAACGCGCCCACGGTCACCCTGCCCAGGAACGTTTCCTACACTGTCCTGCCACCTTCCAGCAATGTCAGGACAGTCGTCGCCACGGTGCTGGCCACGGACAGTGACGATGGCATTAATGCAGACCTGAACTACAGCATTGTGGGAGGGAATCCCTTCAAGCTGTTTGAGATTGATCCCACCAGTGGTGTGGTTTCCTTAGTGGGAAAACTCACCCAAAAGCACTATGGCTTGCACAGGTTGGTGGTGCAGGTGAACGACAGTGGGCAGCCTTCCCAGTCTACCACCACGCTGGTGCACGTGTTTGTTAATGAGAGTGTTTCTAACACAACTGTGATCGACTCCCAGATTGCCAGAAGTTTGCACACCCCTCTCACCCAGGACATAGCTGGTGACCCCAGCTATGAAATTAGCAAACAGAGACTCAGTATTGTCATTGGGGTGGTTGCTGGCATCATGACAGTGATTCTGATCATTTTAATTGTTGTGATGGCCAGGTACTGTAGGTCCAAAAATAAAAATGGCTATGAGGCTGGCAAAAAGGATCATGAAGACTTTTTTACACCCCAGCAGCACGACAAGTCTAAAAAGCCTAAAAAGGACAAGAAAAATAAGAAGTCAAAGCAGCCTCTCTACAGCAGCATTGTCACTGTAGAAGCTTCCAAGCCAAATGGACAGCGCTATGACAGTGTCAATGAGAAGCTGGCGGACAGCCCAAGCATGGGGCGATACCGATCTGTTAACGGTGGGCCTGGGAGCCCCGACCTGGCCAGGCATTACAAATCCAGTTCCCCATTGCCTACTGTCCAGCTTCATCCCCAGTCGCCAACTGCAGGCAAAAAACACCAGGCTGTACAAGATCTACCACCAGCCAACACATTTGTGGGAGCAGGAGACAACATTTCAATTGGATCAGATCACTGCTCTGAGTACAGCTGTCAAACCAATAACAAGTACAGCAAACAGGTAAGCTGCCTCCAACTACATTTCATCACCCCAGAGAGGGCTAATAACTCTGAGACAGGTCATCCTCTGTGTGCTCTGTGAAGTTTTGGTGGTTGTTTTGTTGTCGGTGGTGGTGTTTTTAATGATCTTGTTCAAAATTTTAATACAGGAGCCCAGTGTTAATTCATGCACCTTTAGTGTAGCAGAGGCCTGCAGTGAGAGGTAGGGACTATTGTAGTTTGCATGAGGTGGACTAAGCTTCTATAGTAGTATGCAGTGTAGGCAGTGTTCTGTACTCTTTGCACTTGAGTGTCCCAATTTATCCTCTGTTTTCTGCTTACAGAATAAATATGCACATAGTGTTTAGTTAGTTCTAAGTGGATAATTACATCCAGAGAGAAAATTTCTAGAGTTACTACTGGTGTCTATGCAAATTGGATGAACATAGAAGTTTTAGCGATGCTATACATAATGCAGGATTTCACAAATAAACAGATGCTGATTTATGCAAATGCAGTGCCAAGTCTGAGATATTGAAATACTAATTTGACAAAAAAATGGCAGTTTAAAAATATTTACTGATGTGAGAGTGTCATGCAAAACTTCACTCCATACTTTCAGAAAACAGACAGCTATAACAATTAGCTTTCTTTGCTAGTATTCATTCAGCATTTTGATTTTTCTGGTTCAGTGTTTAAAGGTTATAACGAAAACTAAGCTGTATAGGCCACATATTTAAGGCAAGCAATAAAAATGTTCATGATTGACATACGGTGTGCATGGCTATTTTGATATGCTTTGTGATATATTAAAAATATAAAGGTTATGTACATCATTTCACACAGGTATTTCATGATGTGGTATGGAAAAGGGAGTGTGTGTGTCTGTGTGTGTGTGTGTCTGTGTGTGTCTATATTGAGGGGACTTTCAACAATGTAAGATTTCCCCTTAATAGTTTATATGATGTGCAATACTCAGAAGTTCACTTGTTATGCCCACCAAAGTTTGACACACAGGAAATCAAACCTTTTGAAAAACTTCATGATCTATTGCTGGGGCAAACACTACTAATAAAACATCTCCTACCCTTTGTGCCTCTCAAGGAGCACATTTATAACTTGTCCAGTACCATCACCTGATTGTTTTTCTATGAAATATGCTTTGTATGTGGAATGTGTGGTCTGAGAAGGACTGAAGCAGAAGAAGAAAGTTTATAGTCTCATTCAAGAAAGATGTCATGCAAAAGATTCCTTAGAGTTTCCATCATTATTCCCACTAGTTTCCTGAGGAAGTATTTTCTGTGTGTAATAGTTTGCTGCAGCTATTTATGAAAGGAGAAAAAGATGCAATAGGATTCCATATCTAGTAACAAAAGCAATCTGAGAAAATACATGCTTAACTACATTGAGTGAAATTGCTGTTTGAAATAGGTTTTGATGTGTGTGAACTTGAATTATTTATTGAGTATAAGCCCAAATTTGACAGTGTGGAGAGTTTAATGTCTGTTGTATTGCTGTCGCTTACCTGGAGATGGAAGTAGATTTTTATTTTATATTTGGTGCTTTTTATCTGTTTGTAAACAAGGAAGGTTCAGCTAAAATATAGCACTTTTATAAGATGACTTATAAACATCCACAAATAGATACCTTAGAAATTTCCCTAGAGAATGGTAATATGTAACATGAATGAATGTTACACTCTTTTTAGATTTTTTATTTCCCTATGTCATGCTAACACTAATATAATTCTGTGACTAAAGGGAATTTTCATTCTAAAAAGTAAAAATCTTACATGCTTGAGTTAAATTGGCAAATTTATAGATATTTGATGCAAACACCTCCTATGTTTTCTGTTGTTACTTAAGCTTTGTTTGACTCATGCTATGTTCTATGCTGTTTTTGAATTTTAAAAACTGCCAATTTTATGACGTTTGGCATCCTATCTAAAAGACCAAGTGATAAGCTTAGGCATAAACTAATGTATGATATCAGCCTCTTAACTGATCTAAGTCCATATACCAACAAGAAAATAAAAGCCACAATGCAAATGGAATGAAGCACATGGTTTCCAAAGTGACTTTGGAAAACTTGTGTGCCATTAGCTATTCAAACCATGTATAAAGTTTTAACCACAAGTAAAGAGCTGACCTCCAATGAAATGAAGGCAGAGGAAACACATTCCCCTCAATGTAATTAGTAATAGTAATTGATACGCTTCATCTCCTCTTTATTGCTGTCAGGAGACAAGGGGTCCATTTACAAAGTTACATTCTGTTTAGACATCTGACATAACCCTTTCTGTTCTGATTTTTGTCAGCACCATAAGTAGGTGTTTTTCCACTATTATTCTTCAAGGGTATTATCTTCAATTGTTACATAACTAGCAGGCTATATTATTTTTTTCTGATTTACTCTTTTCATTAAAGATTAAATGCACAGGATTTTGTCTTGGAAAAAATGAAAGGAAAGCTTTGAAGATTGTGTTCTTTCAATTCTTCTGTAGGGAATGAGTTAAAAAATCTCAGCTTTTATTTGATATGAAGCCTTTGTTTTATTTAGAGACTTCCTGAATTGCTTCATTATAGTTCCTCATTTGTAATAAAATGAAGTAATATTTCTTATAGTGATTTTTATCTTCATGAGGATTAGTCTTTGTGAAGCCTCTACTCTTAGTTTTAATTGGTGATAATGGTTACACTCCAAGAAAGAAAGCCATTTTTTTTCTTTTTTAGAAATGAAACTTTGTAAATAATAGTTGGACTCCATTTCCCCTCCCCACTCCCTTTACTTATTAATTGACTTATTTATTGACTTACTTCTTCATTCATTCATGAATTCATCTCTTTTTGGTTTGTTTTCACAGGCCCTAAGGGCCATTCAAATTAAGCTGCTGGAGTTACTCTTTGGCAGGCAATAGATAAGTAGAACAGAGTTGCTGGAATTACTTCTGAAATTCACTCTTTAAAAACACTGATGTTGTAGCTCAGTTTTTCATAGTTCAGACTTGGAAGAAACTATTGCTCTCAACTTCCTAATATGTTCAGTTGAGCAAAATGTGGATCATTGGTTGCATGATTGAGTAGCTGTTTCCTTTTTATTTAGCTGCTCTTTTCACTGGCACACATGGTCTTGGTGGTTATGTTAGTTTTGTCTCCTAAAATCATGCCTTTGCTTTGGAAAATAAAGGAAAAGGAGTTCAAATACCCAGCATTTTACTCTATACTAAATAATGTTCATTTTTCTTTAAAAGATAACACAGTTGCAAAAACGTAATAGACAATATAAAAATATAGTTACCAATTTACCTATTAGTCTCCAATCACGTGGCGCTTACAATTGACATGCTGTTATGTAGATAATTCAGGGCCAGATAAAATTTTTTATTATATTTGGTAAATGGAAGGTAAGATAATTTGTTTTTTGGCAAGAATTTAGCTTGAATAAACATTCACTTTAAAAATCCATTTGTAGTTGATCCTGAAATACTCAAGAAAAAAACTCGTATTAGCTCCAGTGACGTTTTGCCTTTCCTAAAGAACTGCTGAATTACTCTGAATAATGCTCCCTTTAATTGATAAAATGACATTCAGTATATTGACTGTATACTTAGTGAACATTTTGACAAAACTTACTTTAAGTGCTTGGACTTTGGAAGCCAGTGGATGACTTGTCATCATTTTTATATTTGTAAGAAGTATGAAAATGGTATTTAAATGTATTTGCTGTCTGTCTGTCTGTATATATTTTAGTAGTCATGTATTTGTATAGCAGTGCCAGCCATGGCTTCCTGTTTTAATTTTAAAAGCTTAATGTGCAATATGGTTTTCAATAGTCATGAGGAATTTGTATATTATACTGAGGCTAAGACGTGATAGACTTTTTGGCCAGCCATCTTCCGCTGAGACACATCTCCTAACACAAAGTCAACTACCTGGATCTTTGTCAGAATAGAACAGGAAAGGTCATCCACTAATGACTCCATTTGTGATGGATATGCAAATTTAAAGTGAATCCCACCCACCCCCACAGGACAATGTAAAACCTTATCCCATACTTTTCCTGCATTAATTAGCCACTCAGACATAAGATCACAAAGCCAGTTTAAAGCTGTAAGTAAACAGTGCAGCACAAGAAGTACAGTAATATTCATTCCATTTAGCTCCTCCTGTCTCTGAGTCATGACATCCTGTGCATGTACACATAGGCAACACACACAAACACATATCCACGTATACCATCTATGGTGACAATACTTTCATGTCGTGATAGTCATACCATGGACCCTATCTGAATTCTCAGACTTCTACAGAGTAAAAACAACAAAACTATGACCAACTGCTTAATATTTATAAACAAACTAACTGGAGTTCCCAAAGTTTAGAATTAAAAGCCATTTTTCTCCTTTATAGGAGACTGCAGCCCAACATAAAAACGTATTTCGACTTGAATCACAAAGTGATTAGAGAGATAATGGACATTAGATTTGAAGTTCTGGGGTGCAGAGTGACTTGGTTTTCTGTTTGTTTGTTTGATTTGTTTTTGTGTTGTTTTGTTTTTCTACCTTGTTTTATCTGTAGGGAAAAAATCATTGGTTTGTAGCTTTTTGCAGTGTGTGTTTTGATAGTGACAGTAATCTATTTCCATTTACTTTTGTGTTTATACCTATGGATTTGTCTACAAATATAGTTCTCCCTACAGTAGAATATAGTTCTTCTTTAGGATCCGGTCCTTATGTGTAAGATCACATCAGAATTTATAACTCAACATGCAGAGTGTAGAAAGAAATGAGGAATCGCTTCCCTCACCTGCTTGTGAAAGGTTGCAGTTAATGGTATACACAAGTAATTTAGTGTAGTTGAGAAACATGGGTTCAACAAGCTCAGTGACATAATTTCTCATTTGATCAGAATATTTTGTATATTCTCAATTAAAGTGTATTTTAATAGGAGAGACTACAAATACTGTATACAATATACATGAAAGGTACATTCAACTCCAGCTCATCTTTTACCTTCTTTATCCATGTTGATAACCCCTTTTGGTTTCTAGGCTTCTTTGCCTTTCATAAACTGCGTTGTACATTTCATCTTAGAAGTGTTCCTAATATACAATGAACAGTAAAATTTCCCCTGATTTTGTTTCCTAGTAAAGTTTTAGAGGAAGTGACCTAGTGTTATATTTCAGTTGGATTACTTCCTTGATAGGCAGTTAACCAATCTCATGTATTTAGATCCCAAATTTATATGGCATAGTAATACCTACGGATTATACTTTGAATACTAACAGTAGTATGACAAAGTTATTGCTTGCCACAGCCATCCACACAATTAGACTTTTTGGCATTATTTTTAAAAGGCTGGGGAAAGAGTATAGGTTACTTGCAAAATGTAGTACTTGTTCATTCTTGTTTAAGGTATGCGTAGTTAGTTTCTAGACTATGACAAGTTACCTGATTCACTTATGTACTTTAAAGAATGGATTGTTCTGTATAAAGAGTGAGCTTTTCATCTCTTGCAGTTTTCAAAGTGCTTACACACTTCTAAGGTAGGGACCCTGTTATGGTACATGACACGGTGCTTAATTTAGCATTAATATTGTGGGAGAAATCACATTTCAAGAAGAATTGAGCTCAAACCACTAAAACTAATCTTAATGATCACTTCTGGTGAATTAATGTTGTAAGACAGAAGAAAGGTTAATTTTCAGGAATTTAGTGATGTTTGTATCGAATGCTAATGCTGTTTACCAACAAGGAAACCATTAAAGCTTCCAAACAGGATTGTGCAGACAAGTTTAACTTATTCAACCCTAAGCATATTTACTACATACAAATATGCAATTCACAAATAAATGTTCGTTCACAAACTTCTGTAGCGGGTTGACTAAGCATAGGGTTATTGGGGGAAATTTTTATTCATCACACCTTTTTTTTCACCTGCATAAATCTTTATTTTCCTTTTTTCAGATGCGTCTACATCCACACATTACCGTGTTTGGCTGAATTCCACTCTTATATGATGCTCATTTTGCACCATACTTTGATGAACTAGCTACCAGGAAACCTGCTGGAACCTGCCCTTGGCCGTGGGGTGTCAGCCAATCACTGTTTGTTACACTTGCTGTGCATTTTGTTTCCTTTCTCCTATCAGGGAAAATAGTGGGAAAATAAACCTACAGAAGAAACAGTATTAATTTAGAAATTTGCTACTCGTGGATGTCCCAGTCACTCAGAATTCCATCCTCAAAGGGATGGTTAGCACCTTTTAGACACGATAGTGAAATCGTTAGAGACAAATATACAAGTTTATTTTAGCAATAATTTTTAAGACTGGCTTTCTGTGAACAAAGGAAAAATTAAATCTTATACCTTTTTTGTCTTTAGTCCATTCAATAGAGACTTCAAATAAAATCTGAATTGATCAATATTTCCTGTGTCATGTAATCGAAGCTTTGCCAAGGCCAGTCAGCTAGTTCTGCCAAAGGAAACTATTGTGGTGTTTTCCCCATTATGTGTGTACACACATCTAAATGTTATCTTTTGTGTCCGTGTTTGTATTTACACATGTAATATGCAAAGACTTGGGGCAGTATTTATAAAAGTATTTTCTGCAATACAATTTTGAGAGTTTGGTTTTGTATTTATCAGAGACACTCACTACAATGGATTGATTTTTTTTCCTTAATCTTTTTTCTCTCTCCTTTTTTTTTTTTAAATTTTCAAGATGTTTATTTGTGTTTTTTTATGAATTCCTTTAAAACATGAACACATTTTCAGGTAGATTTGATGAGGAGGATCAGATGGCTTCCAGTTTTGTGGACTGCATTCATTGGAAGGTTGTTCTGTTTGGTGTCAGATAATATAAATGAAAGCAGTTTTAAAACTTCAGTATGTTCTTGAGACAATGAGTGACATGGTTTTAGTTGTATTAATGATCTAGGTACCCCCTCCATTTTCATGTTTGTGTATTTATGTGTCTGTTATGTCATGTGTGTTAATGTCCCTAAATTAATGCACTGTATGTAAAATATTATTTTATTAGATATTTACTATACCACCTCCACTATTAAAATTGTCTATAACTTTCAAAATATTAAGAATAAATTCTCAGTATTTTTTTCCTTCTTTGTGAATCATTGTCAATAATAGTAGCCCTTTTAGAAGCATAAGTAAAGGTTGCAAGAATATTGAAGTGCAAAGTGATGGGAAATACACTGTAAGCCATACAAATCCCTAACGTATACTTGAGCATTTTTATTCTATTAGCTGTTTATTTAATCTTGTGAAAGGGAAATTTTCTGAAGTATCATTGAGACTACAATGAAATTCCTGAGCAAAACATAATTACCTTCAACTTCTCATTTTCCTTTGAGCACAAGGACTGAAAGGCTTATAAAGAAGACCTGCCACTTTGTGCTCCTTGGAAATGCTTCTTTCCTCTCCCAAGTGGGAAACTTCTTTTGATATACTTAAGGCGTAAATCCAGTGTAAAACAAATGACATGAAGCCAAATGCTGGTGGCTCACGCCTGTAATCTGAGCTACTGAGGAGGCTGAGATCTGAGGATTGCAGTTAGAAGCCAGCCCAGGCAGCAAAGTCCCTGTGAGACTATTATCTCCAATTAACCATTCAAAAACCAGAAGTGGCACGGTGGTAAAGCACTAGTCTTGAGCAAAATAACTCAGGGACAGTGCCCAGGCTCTGAGTTCAAGCCCCATGACCAACAAAACAAAGCAAAACAAAACAAAAAAAAAAAAAGAAAAGAAAAATTACATCAACTAAAACAAAAAGTCAGTGTTAGAATGAACAAAGTCTGAAAGCCTGGATTCATTGACTTGAACCATGAATTCAGCCAATGCATAGAGTAAATATTCTAGACTTTACAAACTCAGGTGGCGACACAGTTTTGAATCATGAATCATTTTTATCAGGTCTCTATCACAAAGCGGAAGATGTGAATTAAAATTACAACATTCAGAGTAAGTAATATTTTGCACAATATTTGTTTCACGTAGGTTCTTGTCCATATGAATAACTGTATTCTTGGTTTTGATACCTGTGTAAAGAATGTTATGTTGTGGAAACAGTTGGAAGTATCCGAAAATTCTACTCTAGACTGGGGTGAGAAATTGTGACTATTATCTAGGATAATTAAAAAATATAATAAAACAAAAATATTATTAGGTCTACAAGGGTTGCAGTTTATTGTTCAATGAGGAAGCTTTAGCGGAGTGTGTGAAGAATTCACCAAGTCAGAAGAAACAGGGAAGCAAGAGAGGAAAGAGGCAGACATCATAGGCAGTGTCACCCTAATGGAGTTTGATAGGAATAGTGATTATAAGCACTAACATGTAGAGGGAATTGCTGCAGATGTTTGTTTTTGTTTTGTTTTGTTTTTTTGGTCAGTCATGGGGCTTGAACTCTGGGCCTGGGTGCTGTCCCTGAGCTCTTCAGCTTAAGGCGAATGCTCTACCACTTGAGCCACAGCGCCACTTCCTGTTTTCTGGTGGTTAATTGGAGATAAGAGTCTCATGGACTTTCCTGCCTGGGCTGGCTTTGAAAGGTGAATCTCAGCCTCCTGAGTAGCTAGGATTACAGGCCTGAACCACTGGTGCCTGGCTGATGCTTTGTTTTGTCATTTTAGTTCAGCTAGCTATTTTAAGTTGGAGTGGTTGGTTTCTAAAGGTGTTACAGAGGAGAGGTACATGTTTGTGTGCATGTTTATGTGCATGGGTGTATGTGTGTGTGTGTGTGTGTGTGCGTGTGCGTGTGCGTGTGTACACGTGTGTGCTTATAAACAGGACACAGGTAGAGTTCTGCTTTACTTAAGACAGTTTCTGTAAAACAAAGGAGCCTTCCAGACAGACAAAATGGAATCCTCTACAAAAGGATTTGGTTAGGCTACTTTGAGTTGGGGGTTTACACAGTTGAGTTGGGCCTATTATGTACTAGAAAGCTGAATCAGTGTGAGCAACAACATACTTAGAGAATCATTTAACATTGTAAAGGCCTTTTTTTTTTTTTTTTTAGAAATCTGTTACCATTCTACCTGCTTTCTTTTGTTTTGCTATTGGATTTTTAAATCCTTGAACATAGGCACTTAAGTTCTATGACCAGGTACTAACTCCCACTTTCCTCCCATTCCCCACCTCTCAATTGTTGTTAATCAACCGCAACCTCAGGTCTTTGTTTAGTCTCCTATGTAATTACTGAACTTAACCATTAAGGAGATGTCTGTGGACAGAGTAGGCTTAAAGCAAACCATCTATTGTCCTGTTTATTTTATCAGTTGTTTATTTTATTCTAAATTAAAACTTCACTACCGATGTAAGGGGGATTGTGACTACACTAAAGTTGACGAGTTTATTGGCTAGTTTATTTGGAAGACTTCAGTCATTAGAGAATTTTTTCTTTTGATACAGCTGATAGCTACACTGGTCTCCTTAGGTATGCAAAGACTAATCAGAGTCTTTGCCCTCGTGAAATTAAGGTTGAAGAGCAGCAATGGGATAGTTTATGTTTGCCTCCTGCCTTGTAAGTCTCAGAACAGTGATGCAAGTTTGGGTTCATTTGTCCCTCAGAACAAACTAGAAGAGTCATATTATTATGTAAGATGAAGGTGGCAAAGTGATGAGTGACTTTTCATAGCTCATGGAACTAGCTTTAAGAACTTCCTAACATCTACAGGAAAAAAAATAAACAACAGGATTTGAGAATATTGGAAGCATTTGAAATGTGTGTGTGTGTGTGTGTGTGTGTGTGTGTGTGTGTGTGTGTGTTCCTTTTGAATTTGGCTTTGGTTTTTGCACTTTGCTTTTCTTGGGACATTATCATTCTGTCATTTAGGCTGATCTTTCTGTCCCAGGCTGCTGAATTCACAGCCAACAGGTTTATGCTTGTGAAGAAAGTTTCTTTCCAGATTTCCCTAGGCCACATCTCCCCAAAAGACAGAATTCAAAAGGGAAGTTGTGTCATCAGAATGCAATACGTATTCCAACTTTTGTGGACAAATCTGCCAGAAAAAAAAATCCTAAAAAGAGGCTATGCCTTCAACTTTTTTTTTTCAAAAGTCATAAAATGTCCTAAAAATATTGTGGGTATATTTTAGAGAGTTGAATTATTTTTTAAAGCCATAAAAATTAGGCAAATGTATAACCCTAACTAATTTTAATTTTGAAGTTATCTGAGGAAGGAGTCAGAGATGCTTGAAGAGCTTTTGGGAGTCAGTCGTTCTACAGTTTAATCTTGGTCTCTCTGGGGATAATTTTTAGCTGTAATTTTGCATCAGACTTTCCTTTGATGTGAGCAAAATTTTAACACATTCAATTTGTAGAGAAAAAAGTACTGATTTGCTCTATCTGTATTGCATAGTACAAGGTCTCTTGGGTAGAGATAAAATGAGTAGAACAATACTCCTAAACTTTATAGATAATACAAAAATGCAGATGATAAAGGGATTCTTGAAGCTCAGAAGGATTACCACTAGTATTGTCCATCAGTGTGTTGCTAGTATCTAGACCAAGCCCTACTCATAGGAAACAGTCAGACGTATTGGTTGAACAAATGAAATGAGGGTGTATTGGGCTTTGGTGCTTAGGTAGCCTGTAAACCTATTTAAGTTTCATCTGGATTATGTTAGAGCCACTGTATATCCCTCTCTGGGGCCATCCTGTTCTTTTCTCTTGCTAGGTAGGTTTCTGTTTGTTGAGAGGCTCCTCTACTGATTGGGCTGGAGTCTGCAAGAAGCATGTCTTCAGTCTGTCTTCAGTACCAAATGAGCAATGTTCTTATTCCCCTTCCTTCCTCCCTGCTGAGGTTAGGAACACCAACTTCTGACATAGTTAGAGGGGAGATGATGAAGAACCATGCAAACATATGGATTGTCAGTATTTTTCCAGAGATTCTTATGTGAGGAAAAAATAGATACATATACGCCCAAACACAAGCAAGAATCTCTGTATCTGTCAATTTATATATTCCTGCAGATATTATTCATTCGCTGTGCCAACTCATGCTCACTGATAAAAGTTTTTATTTTCATTCAGCCCCATGGCAAGCAGTCATTTTTAAAGGCAAACCTCTGGCATATCCGTAAGGAGCAAAAATAAGGTATGCTTGGTTTACTAAGGAAAGAGGAGCTATCTCCCCACTTAAAAGAAATGGCCAGTGAGGATTAAGCTAAAGATGTTTTACTAGGAAAAGTCACTCCCAAGAACCTGGCCTATCTTAGCAGCTCCACCTAATAAACTTTAGTGCACCTAGGTGTGAATTGCTTTCAGCAAATCCTGAATGTTATTAACATTCCAAAGTCAATAATCCTTAAGAAATGGAAATAGCGAAAGGGAGGGAAGCCTTCTGGGGCTAACCGAAATGTCTGCTCAGTTAAAGCACCCAGGGTCTCTAACTCCAAAGGAGAGTGGGGCCAAAGGGGAAAAATTTAAATGTGGGACACAAAGGCCTATGAATTTTATATGCAGGCCCTGGAAGAAATCATTAAATGTCTGGGCTTTGATGTGATTCTAAGATTAGAGGAGATATGAAGTAATCTTTCCATTTAGATACATTATTTTATGTTGATTTGGTTTTTATTTCTGTCTAAAATATTCACTTCAAATTCATTGTCTCAATTTTCTGCACCTGGGCTTATGGGAGAAAAAGAACAAGAGAAAGGTATAAAGAGAAAGAACAGAAGTTTCATGGCAGGATAAACACTTTGTCTTTTATTATTAGACTGGTGTAATAAATATACTATGGCAACATTATCATCCAGTTAATTGCTATCATAGTTTTGAGTTGAGACTTAATACCTTTTATTTTCACTATTGGGATCTTCAGAAGAACTTGACAAAAACCAGTGTATTCTTTACTACTGACTGCATTTAAAGGAGGCTCCAACTCTATTATGGTTGAGTGGAGGAGATATTTCAAGATATAAAATGTGTTTCACTTTATTGGCCCTAATATCTCAGTAAACTAATAAAGAAGCAAAGGAATGGTATCTGTTTTTAATAAAGAATATTGTGGTACTTCATAATACGGCACAACCTATTTTAAACAAATATACTA